TACCCTTGGTCCTGATGCAGAGATGCCTTGCTGTGTATTGATCCGGAACACAGGCTGCCATTTTTACTCCCCTCATCCATTCCCACCCACTACCACCCACCCACGTCTCAGCCAGGACTAACTATCCTGCCAGTGCACATGAGCAGGAGGGTTGGCTGGACAAACTAACCACTGGAGAGATGATCTGGCTCTTCTCTGGTCACCTCTCCATCCATCATTCCAGCCAGCAGACAGAGGAAGCAGGATATGGACTGGATTTAGTCCTGAAGCCTCTACACTTGTCTGCAAGTGTGTAGACATGGTTGAGAAGCAGGACTTCCAGACACCAGGAAGGGCTATTCAGGGAGTCCACAACTCGGGATTATAGGTGTGATTGAAGAACCACTTGTTTGCTTAAGTGCTTGAGAAGAGTCACTCCAAGCAAACTTGATGGCAAAGGCCAGGAAGCAGATGCTCCACATAAAATAAATATGCCTTAGAATGTGCTTGGGGTTTATTCTTACTCAAGGAACCCAAAGAAATTGGAAGACGACTTCTTTTTTTTTTTTTTTTTTGTATTGAGGCTGGAACCCAGCACACTCTACCACTGAGCCATATCCCCAGCCCTTTTGATTTTTTGTTTTGAGATAGGGTCTAAGTTGATTAAGGCCTCACTAGGTTGCTGAGACTGGCCTTAAACTTGTGATTCCTGCCTCAGCCTCCTGAGCGGCTGGGATTACAGGAGTGTGCCATCATGTCCAACTAAAGTCTTTTGATTTTCAAGAAAATGTAATAGCTGCTCACGAGGACTTAGGGGTAGACTGAGGGCAGGTGGGCTGGTCTTCCTAGCAGTGGTCCATGCACAGGGCCACACATACCTCAGCCCCATCAGATTGAGCTTCTTCCTTTTTAGAACCTTTCCCACCCATTGACAGAGACTCCCAAATGGTACTGGCCCTATCCCAGCATCATCTGTCCCCACTTTCTCTTAAGAAGTCCAGTCAAGTTAGGCTGGTATCTTAGATAAATGGCAAAGGACAGTGGCAGAGTCTGGAGTGGGGGGAGGACTATGGGAATAAAATAGAAACCCACTGATTTTACCATTTAAGAAAATCTGAAGATTTTCAGAGTAGTCAATTTCAGGAGCAGGTACAACTTTTAGAGATTTTGATCAGAATTAAGGTCAATCCCATTGTGAAACTTTGTCATAAAATTAATGCAAGGTGCCTCTATCTTCTCTAATCACTGTATTACAGGCTATGTTTAACAAAGCAGGAGAAGTCAAATTTCCTAGACACAGATAGCAAAATATTTTAAGGTGCTAATGATATTATTTCTGAACACATTTTTTTTTTTGGACTGAATAAAGTACCTTTGATCAGAAAAATGCATTTGTCAAAACTGAAGCAAAGCTGTCCCCTGAACATTGGGCTTCTCTATTTCTGTTCTCTTAGATGATAAATTATTTTCTCACATCCCAAATACCCCAGGGCTAAAAAATGGGTTTGGGATTATTTTTACCAATAATTCTGAAACAACTCCTCAAGCTTCTTTCTAAATAAATAAATACAAACCCCCGTTTTCCTGAGACAACTTCATTTAGCAAAGGCTAACCAAGTAGTTGATGACCTTCCTCATCCAAAGTTTTGTCACCAATTTCAGTGATGCTACCACCCAATTCACAAATTTTCTGGACTCTTAGTTCTCTCACTTTGCAATGGAAGTCATTTGCAATTGACTTCCCTCTACCCCCACTTTAGCTACCCACATATTTGAGCTCTGTTTCCCTGGTTGCTTGGGGCAAGAGTTGGTGATCCATATCAATTTGTTCTACAATCCAGGCAGCCCAGGTAATGGCCTAAGACCTAGAACTTTCTTCTAGCCCTTATCTTCTAATTTCCTTCCAAAGTGAGAAAACTTAGTCAAAAAACATGTTCCCTGAAGACTGAACATCTACCTTCTAGATACCTCCTTAGGTTCCTAGGAGCCCAGATTTACCTAGCCAAATGGTCAATCTTCTGGGGATGGGTCTTTGAAGATGTGGATATAACTTGGATAGCTGGGATTAGGTGTCCACAGTGGTATCCAGTGTGCTGCCTGTATCACCTAGATGAGCTTCTGCCCTACCCTAATTTTATCTCTGTACACAGAAGCTGGAAGCTCCTCTCCAGGAGAGCTAGCCTAAACCAGCTGGATCTAGGTTGCCTGCCTGAGAGACCTCCAAATGACCTCTAACTGCAGCATAATCCAATCTGTATATGACATGCACCCCCTCCACCCCAGTGCCAGGACAGTTGACAACTGCCAGAGGTGGCACCTGAATTACCACCTATTCACAGAAAAGACATGAATATTCTTCCCCTTTATTAGCCTCTCTTTTCTTTTATCCTATATCCATGATTTTCCACTCTCCACAGGTTGAAAAGCTGATCTGCGAGCCTGTCTCCTTGTTTCTCTTATTCTTTGGCCAAGAATGAACCTTCCTGCACTGCTCACTGGATGCTCAGTCTCCTTTAGTGTTTCCATGATTCCAAGAGAGAAAAAGAATCCAATTTGGGTCAAAAAATGATAACACAGGTGAATGTAGGTGGAGTCAAAGGTGGAAAGAGCAAGAAGCCTAAACACACCCCATTCCTGTTTAATAAGAATGCCCAAAGCTTCCTTAACATTAACAGCTTTTACCCTTACCCCAGGGAGGATTTCTTAAGATTCCAATCTTAGTGGAGGTTGGTGACATATGCCTGTATTTCCAGTTACTAAGTAGGCTGAGGCAGGAGGATCAGAAATTGGAGGGCAATCTGGGCAACTTAATGAGATCCTGCATTAAAATAAAATACAAAGGGCTGATAATGGAGCTCAGTGGAAGAGTCTTTGCCTAACGTACAAGAAGCTCTGGGTTCAATTAAAAAAAAAAAGATACCTATTATAGGTTTATTTCGGCTTTCTGATAGCATCCAATCCATAGCAGCACTTGAAATCTCTTCTAAATCACTTAATGTAAACCTAAGTGTTGTAAATTTTCTGTAACAAACATTTACTGAGTCATTACTGTTCTCTATGATAGGTGTTCTACTCCTTCATGAGCAAATAAACCCAATTTGACTAGAGGCATGTTCCTGGAGGCCTGATGGGTAGACAGCAACATATCAAAAGCTCTGCTACAGGGTGGACTTTCATACAGGTTGAGCATCTCTAATCCAAAAATCTGAAACCCAAGTGCTCCAAAATTTGAACCTTTTTGAAATCCAACATAATGTTCACAAAATTTGTGGGACATTTTGTATGTCAGGTTGTGAGGTTATGTTTGCTTAACTGGAAAAGTCTACGGAAATATTCTTAAGCTCAAAAAACTTCAAAAAACCTGAAACAGTTCTTTTCCTAAGCATTATGGATCAAAGATACTCAATCTGTATCACTATTTAATTAAATAGTAGTAATTGATAGTGTCATGATAAATAAAGCAAATAAAGCTAGAAATATATGCAATAATATTGATGAATCTTCTAAACAATGAGCTTTTAAAAAGCAAGGCACAAAATAATGCATCTACTGTATTAATCAATTTACACACCATGTTAAACAATTGTGGGAGCTGCAACGTTTAGGGCAGCACCTAAACTTACTTAGCGCTAAAATGTACAATGTAGTGATCATTTCACAATTCAAGAGGGTGGTCACTTCTGAGGGTAGGGAGACCAACCACGCTGATGAGAATAGGCACATGGGGTTGTTTCTGTTTTTTATTTTTTCCATTACTGGGGATTGAACCCATGGGTACTCTACCACAGAGATACATCTTTGGTCCACTTATTTATTTATTTATGGTACCAAGGATAGGACTCAGGGACACTCAACCACTGAGCCACATTCCCAGCCCTCTTTTGTATTTTATTTAGAGACAGGGCCTCACTGAGTTGCTTAGCACCTTGCCCTAGCTAAAGCTGGCTTTGAACTCCTAATCCTCCTGTCTCAGAATCCCTAGCTACCGGGATTACAGGCATGCACCACAATGCCTGGTTTACTTATCTATTTTTTGAGACAGGTCTTAAGTTTCCCAGGCTGGTTTCAAATTTGCCATCCTTCTGCCTCAGCATCCTGAGTCCCTGGAATTACAGGAGTATGATAACACACCTGAGTTAGATGGTAGTTACATGCATATACACTTTATATTCATTAATTAAACTGTAGAAATAAGTTGTATGAATACTTTGCTATACATGTTTCATAACAGTAAACGTAATTTCAGCTGGCCACAGTGGCTCACACCTGTAATCCTGGCAACTCAGGAGGCTAAGGCAGGAGGATCACAAGTTCAAAGCCTGACTCAGCAATTTAGCAAGGCCCTAAGCAATTTAGTAGACCCTGTATCAAAAAAAAAAAAGAAAAAAAAAAAAAGAAAAAGAAAAAAAAAGAGAAAAGAAAAATGTGCTGGGAATGTGGCTCAGTGATGAAGTGCTGCTGGGTTCAATCCCCAGTGCCAATAAATAAATAAACAAATAAAATAAAATGTGATAAAGAAATACTAATGCCAAATATGGCCATAAAAAAAGTTTTTTGTTTTTTTTTTTTTGCATTATAAAACTGTTACCAGAACCAGGTGTGGTGGCACATGCATATAATCCCAGAACTGGTAGGCTAAAACAGGAAGATCACAATCCAGGCTCCAGGCCAGCCTTAGTAACCTACTGAGACCTTCAACAGTTTAGTGGGACCTTGTTTCAAAAACAAAACAAAATAAAACAAAATGGCTGGTGATGTAGCTCAGTGGTAGATCTCTGATTTCAATCCCCAATACCAAAAAAAAAAAAAGAGTTTCCTTAGAGTTTGACTAGCGTGCATCCATTCACCTGATGCCAATTAACCATGGGTAAACTGCTTAATTTTAATCTGTGATATTATAAGGATGACTAACAGCCTATGGACGTTATTGTGATTACTGGGACTTTCTACCTGAGGAAGTTTTCTCCAAAAGGAGTCAGGTCTTCCCGGCTCCCTTTGTTAGCCACACATATCCACTCTACCTTGAAGGATATTTCCGTCGTCATGGTGAATCCGTGGGTGATGACAGGTTCTTCTTCTGCAGTCCTTCCCTTCCAGCAGTCCAGCTCCACACAGCGACAACCAGACAGAAGCACTTGGCGATACATCTCCACAGAGGAGTTTCCAGCCAGCTGGCCAGCTGTAACACACCAACAAAACAAACCCCAGAATCTCATGAATCAAGCAAGATAGTGAGTCGTGGCTTCTTAGAAAGGCTCTCTTAACAGTTGGAAAACAAAGTGTTTAGGAGCTGTAGCAGCTGGGCGCGAGTGGCAGATGCCTGTCATCCCAGCAAATCAGGAGGTTGTGGCAGGAGGATTACAAGTTGGAGGCCAATCTGGATAACTCAGCAAGACTGTTCAAGAGGGAAAAAAGAAATTAAAAGGGGGTGGGGATGTGGTTTAGAGGCAGACTACTATCATAACGTGTGCATGTGCGAGGCCCTGAGTTCAGTCCCACTATCACACAGAAAAAGAAAAGCTGGAACAGTTGTTCTCAGCCTCTCTTCTGCCTTAACATACCAGGGAGCTGAATACAATCAAGAATCCCTAGCACTGGGTTGGGTGAAGAGAGAATAGAGAGAGTACAGAGAGGAGGGCATCATAACAATAACAAGGAGGAGCTTATCATGTGTCAATAACAGGTCTTTGGACCTTGAATGTATCAAATATTTAATCTTTAAAAAATGTTCATTATTTTATTTAAAATATAAAATGGCACAAAGTAGTTCAATTGCCCGAGTGTCCAAAGCTGGAAAATAAAAAAATACAGAATTCTGTTCATGGAACAGAAGATACTGCTCCCTTAGTTGATCTATAGAACTCACTTCTTATCAAAATCCCACCGGCATTTTCTTTTCTTTTCTCTTCTTTTCTTTTTCTGCATGTCAGGGATTGAACCCAGGGCTATCCACATGCTACCAGTGAGCTATATCCCTAGCCTCCCACTCTGCTTTTTATCTTTTTTGTTTTTTCAGAAGTTGACAAGCTGATTCAAAACTTCATGTTAATCAAATAATTTTGAAAATTTTTAACAAAGTTAGAATCATACTTTTCAACTTAAAAATTGACTACAAGCCTGTAGAAAGCAACTGTCCTATCATAAGGATAGATATAATGGAATAGAATTGAGAGTCCTGCAGAGTGCAATGGCGCAGGCCTGAAATCTCAGTGCCTTGGGAGGCTGAGGCAGGAGATCTTGAGTTCAAAGCCAGCCTCAGCAACAGCAAGGTCCTATGCAACTCAGTGAGACCCTGTCTCTAAATAAAGTACAAAATAGGGCTGGGGATGTGGCTCAGTGGTCGAGTTCCTTAGTATCAAAAAAAAAAAAAAAAATGGGAGTCCTAAACAAACCTCCATTATATGGTCACCTGGCTTTCAAAAGAGTTGATAGACAAGTGAAAGCAGAAAAGAATAGTCTTTTCAATGATTGGCCTGGGCAGGATAACTGGACAGCCACATGCAAAGAATGAAGCTGGATCTCTATTTCAAACTATAAACAACAAATCGAATGGATCAAATTCCAAAAATGTGAGAGCTAAAAACCATAAAACTCCTAGGTGGAGGTGAATCCACAGAATTGGATGCGGCAGGGATTTTGTAGATATGACAACAATAGCACAAAGGAACAAAAGGAAAAATAGGTAAATTTCATGAGAGTTAAGAGGTTCTGTGAACACAACTGAAATACCCATGTGAAGTTATGAGAATCATAACAATCAAGGCACCTGAGGTCTATGGGCTGGAATACAGAGGGCAGACAAACTACTTCTTTTACACTTAAGAAATCAAAGGTTTCTTCCAAAGATGGAATGTTCTCTCTGATAAGTGGATGCTAATCCATAATTGGGGTGGGGCATGGGAAAAATGGAAGAACTGTGATTGGGCAAAGGGGAGGGGAAGGGACAGGAGGGGGCATGGGGGCAGGAAAAATGGGGAATGAGATGGACATCATTACCCTAGATACCTGTATAACTGCACATATGGTGCGACGCTATATGGGATACAACCAGGGAAATGAAAAGTTGTGCTGCAATTTTGTACAATGAATCAAAATGCATTCTGCTGTCATATATACCTAATTAGAATAAATAAATCAAATTTTAAAAAAAGAAATGAACAGTTTTCTTAATGCCACTATAAATTGTTTGTAAAAGATTAATAATAAATAACTTTTGAGGCAACACATTACCAAACAAATTGAAGTCTTCGGTTTTCCCTATTAAAGTGTTTTTTTTTTTAAATTCATACTCTATAAGATTCCTTCATGTCTTTTTTTTTTTATTATTAGCCAGTTGACTCATGACATGTTGATGAAAACTGTCAAAATGACTTTGAAATGGACAATATTGGCTCTGTGGAGACTCATAAGAGAAAGAAAATAAGATTAAGTCTACTGGTTAATTTTGGTTTTATATGCATGTCACAACACTCAACTATCAGCATAACAAAAGGATGACATTCTTGAGTTCTATAGAGCCCTGGTAAATGAGCTGAAGACTGATGAAGTAGGTTTCAGAATCACTTCTAAGAAAAAACAATTAGGGCATTTTAAATGCACAGTGTATTTGCAAAACAGAAATGCTGACAAAACAACCTAGAAAGTTCGCCAAAGCTAGATAATCCATTTGCTATTTACAATTGTCTTGAAGTTTATTGTCATTGCAAAAATGTACAGATGTCTTTTCTGCATCAAGGGGCAAGGGAACAATGGAACCAAAAGGGAAAAGATTATGTTATTTCTAAACTTCAGGGAGGGCTATCCTAACTAAAGAAAGTGAAGAAGTTAAATAATTACCAAGTTAACACTTTAAAAATGTTTGTGCCTGCAAAAAACTGCACTGGTATTAAAAAATAGAGCAGATGTTTTTTGAATGTATGCTGTCCAGGAAAAGGTTATTACTAACCTTGTAATCCAACACTGCTACACATGGTGCAATTTCTGAGTCTATTTTATTTAGCCTTCATTGAATGGTAGGGAAGTTGTCATGGATTTAGAAGCTAAATTAGAGTAAATGGTATATCAAAGTAGATAAAGACCTAACCAATACTAGAATGTTCTGTCAAGAGTTTCTGGAAACAATTATTTGGGTTTGCTTGCAAATTTCTTTCTTTTTTTGTTTTGTCATTTAAACAATAATCAGAAGAAATTTGATATACACTTTGATGGCTGAACAGTCAATATTTTGAAAGGCATGGTAAAGTGTGGGTTTGGGTTTGTGAAATGCAAAAAACATCTAAAAAATCTAGTACATGTGTGTGTGTGTGTGTGTGTGTGTGTGTATGTGTGTGTTGTCCAACATGTAAAACTAACAGAATCCCTTAAAGATAAACTTGTTGACCATTCATTTTTTTAAATACTCTTAAATTTCTGTTTGTGTGCATGTTTGATCATTGCTTCTTTGTAGGCAAAATTTTCAGAAATTGAAATATTCATCCAATATTTTTCTGCCTCTTAAGGACTTTGAACATACATTGCCAAGCAACTCTCTAGGATTGATCTTGATTATTGGGTTTTTTAGTTCTTATGTTCTCTTCACTGGCCCAAAATTAATTCAGTTAGTTAGGTAATCCTTTTGATCATTCTTAAAATTAATAATTTTTTATTAGAAATGGAAGTCTACAAAAGGAAGCCTATTTTAGGAAGACCCATATTTATCCAGAATTTTCCTGTTCCTTGAAATGTACATAAAGTTCCCTGTATGTTTAACTTCATTAAGGAGATTTTTTTTTTATATAAGTGCTAACAATCTCCATTATTTCTTTTCTGCCTAAAGACTCAAAATTGGCTTTACTTTTCTTTCCTAAAATTCTTAGCTTCTCTTTATTACATCCCAACTCACTGACTGTATTTCCATTTGACTTGATTCAATAAATGTAGCTTCTGGGGCCAGGGACTGCCAAGAGGTTGGTACTGTGATGTGTCATGAGTCATTCAACCCTTGGTATTTCTGAAACTTGCATTTGACATCATCTCTGCCTGGCTGTGAACACCCTCTGGAATACATTCCAAATCCATGATTGAACTTGGAGCTGAAGCTCCATCTCAGATTAATTCCTATTACTGCCTCCAGTCACAGCTCTGTGACTTCTCACTTGACTACACTCATTTTTGGTAGCTGGTTACATTCACTAGAGCTTTGTATCAGATTACCAGAGGCATCCAGTGAGAGAAAAGGCCAGGAAATTGGAAATAACAATTTCTGTATTAACAAAGCCTTCTGAGAAATTTCTTATCTTGCAAGGGCTAATGAATAATTGCCTACATTCATGTTTATCAACAGTTGCTGTCTTCTTTTCAACCTCCAGGGTAAGAAAGTTGAGAATGTGACGCATTTGTTAACTCAGTGGCCTTTTTCAATATACATTGTCTCCTTCAATAATGGGAGAGGAGGACTATTTCTCCTTGCTTTCCATTCTGTGACAATTATATAATCTCACAGCTACACCGATGGAAGCAGTTCAAAATATGAGAGTGTGTTGTTTCTCTTGACCAATCCTAGAGGCATCATTTTGATCTAGACTCTCCCTTCCATAGTATCGGCCCCAGAGAACACGTGAAAATTTCTTGAACATAGATCCAACTGTTAGGTGATGCCTTAGTTGAGAAAGTGGGGAAGGGTCTAAATCCATTCCCACTCTTGAGAAAACAACGTTAAGCATGTATCTTAGTGATCATGGGATGGTCCCCATACAAATATATATATCCCCAAACACATTTTTTGTGGGAGGCAAAATACAGGTTTCTGGGATATAAAAATGACATGAAAAAATAAAAATGACATGAGGCGTCGTCCTTACCTCAGCATCTAGGAAGGGAGGCAAGTAAAAATAAACAGCAGGTTTTTATTTAGCAGTTCAAACTCTCATCCTGATTATACACTTCTGGTCATCCTTTCTTTCTCTTATTTCTTTTTCCTTTTTTACTAATTGATTATCCTATTTAGGATCTGATCAATCCTAAATTTATCTCTCCCATTCATGGAGTAAATCAAGAATCTTCTGAGGCCGTCGTTGAACTTCCATGGCTCATGGTAGTGACTAAAGCGGTTTTTGCTCTGTGGTATAATTCTGGAGAATATATAATAGGGCATCAAGGAAAGAATACTAGGTGGGGGTGCAGGAGAGGTGTTTAAGAACC